CCCACTAGCATCACCCAGCCCCACTAGCATCACCCAGCCCCACTAGCATCACCCAGTCCCACTAGGATCACCCAGCCCCACTAGCATCACCCAGCCCCACTAGGATCACCCAGCCCCACTAGGATCACCCAGCCCCACTAGGATCACCCAGCCCCACTAGGATCACCCAGCCCCACTAGGATCACCCAGCCCCACTAGGATCACCCAGCCCCACTAGGATCACCCAGCCCCACTAGGATCACCCAGCCCCACTAGGATCACCCAGCCCCACTAGGATCACCCAGCCCCACTAGGATCACCCAGCCCCACTAGGATCACCCAGCCCCACTAGGATCACCCAGCCCCACTAGGATCACCCAGCCCCACTAGGATCACCCAGCCCCACTAGGATCACCCAGCCCCACTAGGATCACCCAGCCCCACTAGGATCACCCAGCCCCACTAGGATCACCCAGCCCCACTAGGATCACCCAGCCCCACTAGCATCACCCAGTCCCACTAGCATCACCCAGTCCCACTAGGATCACCCAGTCCCACTAGCATCACCCAGCCCCGCTAGCATCACCCAGTCCCACTAGCATCACCCAGTCCCACTAGGATCACCCAGTCCCACTAGCATCACCCAGCCCCGCTAGCATCACCCAGTCCCACTAGCATCACCCAGTCCCACTAGGATCACCCAGTCCCACTAGCATCACCCAGCCCCGCTAGCATCACCCAGCCCCGCTAGCATCACCCAGCCCCGCTAGCATCACCTAGCCCCACTGCCAGCACAAAAAAAAACCCCAACACAACGTTGGCTGCTGTAACATACCCTGAAGTACCAAGTTTACTCGCCTTTTGGTCACTCTGCCACCTCCCTGGGCAGGCTGTGCCAGGACCTGACCACTCTTTCAGTAAATTCTTCCTAATCTCTAGTCTCAACCTCCCCTGGTGCAACATCAGGCCGTTTAATCTGGTCTTGTCGTTATTTGAGAGAAGAGCCCAACTCCCGCCTCCCTACAACCTCCTTTCAGGCAGTTGTTTAGAGCAACAAGGTCTCCCCTCAGCCTCCTCTTCTCCAGCCTAGACAACCCCACTTCCCTCAGCCTCTCCTCACAGCACTTGTTCTCCAGGCCTTTCACCAGCTTGGCTGCTCTTCTCTGGACACAGACCAACAACTCCATGTCCTTACAGCGAGGGGCCCAGAACTGCACGCTGTGCTCAAGGTGCAGCCTCCCCAGAGCACAGGGGCACGATCACTGCCCTGCTCCTGCTGGCCACACTGTTCCTGAGCCAGGCCAGGATGCTGGTGGCCTTCTTGGCCACCTGGGCACCCTGCTGGCTCGTGTTCCTCCCGCCACTCTTCCCCCAGAACGTAGCGTTGCCTGGGGTGGTTGTGACCGAAATGCAGGACCCGGCACTTGGCCTTGTTGAACCTCATACAACTGGGCTTGGTCCATCGATCCAGCCTGTCCAGGTCCCCCTGCAGAGCCTTCCTACCCTGGAGCAGAACAGCACTTCCACCCAATGTGGTGTGGTCTGCAAACTGAGGACGCACTCAATCCCCTCATCCAGATAACTGATAAAGACATTGAACAAGACTGGCCCCAAAACTGAGCCCTGGGGGACACCACTGGTGACTGGCCACCAACTAGATTTGACTCTGTTCACCACAACTCTCTGGCCATGGCCATTCAGCCAGTTTTTTACCCAGCATCTGCCCAGTGAGGCATGCTGAACCTTACAGTGTGAGATTTAAGGGCCTAATAAACCACACAGAAACCTGTGAATAAAGGGCACGAGAGGAGGAAAAATGCACAGAGGGCAGGATATCTAAACACAAATCCAGGGCAAGAATGGAAGGTGTTCACCACAACTCTCTGGCCATGGCCATTCAGCCAGTTTTTTACCCAGCATCTGCCCAGTGAGGCATGCTGAACCTTACAGTGTGAGATTTAAGGGCCTAATAAACCACACAGAAACCTGTGAATAAAGGGCACGAGAGGAGGAAAAATGCACAGAGGGCAGGATATCTAAACACAAATCCAGGGCA